TTTACCTATATATTTTACGTATATCCAAAAAGTTTTTGAAACCACATTCATGATGTCAGTGTCCATTGTAGATTATTGTAGAATTAAAAAAATAGCCACATTAATTATTTTATTGTCCTGATTAAATACAAACCATTATTATTTAAAACAAATTTTCATCATAAATATGAAAATTTTAATTCAAAATAGTGCTTTTAAATTGTTGAAACGTGATGCAACCAATGACGTAAATAAATAACTAGATGCCTAACTTCGGGATTTTTATAAAATAAAAGTTAAGCCGATTTATTTGTTTACTATTTTAATCAGCCATTATTATATCGGGCAGAAAACAGTAAATATCATACATATATAATATAGAGAGTAAATTCGCAACATTATTTCTTTTACCTTGCTGAAGTATTTATTTAATTCAACTAATTTCATCACAAAATGGTAAATTCTTGTGCTGCATATGGATGTTCTAATAGATACATAAAAGGTGGCAAGAAATCCTTTCATAAATTTCCTTTTCAAAATTCTGAATTATGTAAAAAATGGATTATTGCTTTGAAACGTGAAAATTTTGTTCCATCCAAACACACCTGTATCTGCAGCGACCATTTTTTAGAATCAGACTACAATTACTGTATCCCAGACAAAAAAAATCTAATTCTTGATCATTATCATAAGCCTATTTTAAAATGTAATGCTGTGCCATCAATTTTCGTATTTTCTACAAATATTCAAAAGACTAAAAGGAAACTCCCATCAATACGAACATCAGTAAATTCATTATCTAAATTTGATTCTTTTTCGAAAAAAACAAAGTTTGATGTTTGCCCTGTTATAGACAAACCAAGCAAAGAAATTAATTCAACACATAATGATCAGCCAGAAAGCACTATTGATCAAAATGACCACACTAGTAAATCTCCAACACAATCTATAAAATCTTTATCACCAGCAAAAGAAAAATTAAAAAAAAAAGTTAAGGTTTTACAACAAAAATTAAGAAGAAAAGAAAAGAAAATCTGCTCTTTACAAGACATGGTTTCCCTTTTAAAATCTAAAAATTGTTTGACTACTGATGCTGGAACTGTTTTAAGCGAAAATTTTTCTGGACTTTCATATGAAATTATTAAGAACCAATTTTCCAATCAAAATATTAACCCAAAAGGTCACAGATACAGCGATGAAGTAAAAAAATTCGCTTTAACTCTTCATTTTTATTCTCCAGGTGCGTATAACTTTCTTCGGCCAATGTTATGTCTTCCTACTGCCAGTTCAATATCACATTGGACATCATCTGTAAATTGTGATCCCGGTTTATTCCTTGATGTTTTTTCATATCTTGGTGATAAACAGAAAACAGATATTAATTTTAAGCATTGTGCTCTTATTATCGATGCTATGGCAATCAAAAACAGTATAATTTATGACAAAAGTTCAGGTCACTATATTGGTTTTTGTGATTTTGGTAAAGATATTTCTGTATGTGAACCTGATACTCCAGCTACAGAGGCATTAATTTTTATGTTAGTTGGTTTGCGAGGACATTGGAAAACACCCATTGGTTATGTTTTATCAAATAAAGTTAAAGCAAGTGATTTAACATGTTTTATCAAAAATATTTTAGATGTGGCTTTGACATATGAACTTTGTATCAAAAGTATTACATTTGATAGTACTAGTACAAATTTAAATTCCGTTGTTCCATTTGGATGTAAGTTTGGCAATGTCATAGACAATATAGTTAGTACTTTTTTATATAACAACCAACTGCTCCACATTTTCCTAGACCCATGCCATATGCTTAAATTAGCTAGAAATTCTCTAAATGATTTGGGTGTTTTTATTGATGATGAAGGCTGCTATATTAAATGGAGTTATATTAAAGCTTTGTTTGAGTTACAAGAGCTTGAAGGTTTAAAATTTGCAAACAAAATTTCAAGAAAACATATTGAATTTCATCGCCACAAAAAGAATGTTAAGATAGCTGGCCAAACACTTAGCAGCTCTGTTGCTGATGCAATTGAATTTTTAATGGTATCGCAGCATCCATCTTTCTTAGGAGCAAGTAGTACAATCCGTTTTATAAGAGTTATTGATAAATTGTTTGACATGCTCAATTCCAGAAATCCAAATGGTAAACACTTTAAGAAACCTCTATATCTAAATAATCAGCTTTATTGGAAAGATTTTGTAAACACTACGATTACTTATCTGAGCAAGTTGACTGATATTAATGGCATTCCAATGCTTTTACATCGAAGAAAGACATTTGTTTTAGGTTTAATTGTAGATGCTAAAAGCACTCTAAAATTATCCTTCGATCTGTTAACACTTCATGAGAAGCCATTTAAGTATGTTCTAACTTACAAATATTCCCAAGATCATCTTGAACTACTATTTGCTTGCATTCGTGGAAAAAATGGTTACAACAACAATCCTGATGTAGTGCAGTTAAAATCATCGTTAAAACGGATTCTTCTGCGAAACTCCATTGTTGGATCGAGTCATGCTAACTGCCTAATGTTTGAGCCGTATTCTAATGGCTCTATTTTTTCTCTTAGTTGGAAAAAAAGGTTGTGTTCTGTTGATAATTTTGACTAAGAGGATACTGACTTTGAAGAAGTGTTTTTGTACTGCGATGAACTTCAAATGTCTAGCTACAAAGAAGCAATATTGGGATATATTTCTGGTTTTATAGTCAGAAACTTGATAAATACTATTTCAAGTAATGTTTGTGCTCAATCATTAACTGATATTTTATCATACGAACATTCCTATGCGAAATCTCATTCTTTGTTAAATAATGTGAAAAATCGTGGTGGTTTGTTTTTGCCATCAAGGGATGTTGTTTTTGTTGTAGAGATGTGTGAGAAAGTATTTAACTTCTTTATTAGTGGTAAAGATTTTAAAAATCCAAAAATAACCTCAGATAAAAATATAAAGCATAAGATGATCCATTGTGTTAACAAATTAATTGTTAAAAAAAAAGTCTTTAAAGGACTTGATAGTCACGACATAGAATTGTGGACTGAAAATGAAGATTTGCATTCCAGCCAGCTTGTTAGAAAGATATGTGAATATTACTTTAGAATTCGAATGTTCAGATATGCCCAGGACTATACCACTAAAGTTCTAAGTAAGTCGTCAATTGGTTTAAGACAACAAACAAATAAATTAATATTGTTCAAGGGTTTATGAATATTTCATTTTATTGTATAAAACTTTAATTAAAATAATAAAATATGTTATACGATGTTTTAGTTTGATGTTCTAAATGCAAATATGTTCTTAAATATATATTTTTGTGGCTATAAAAATAGCCGTTTGTTTTAGATTGTTATAACAAACTTAACATGCTAACGTTAGCATGTCCAATCTTTGACCAACAAATATGTATGTATTGACTGTATGCTCACTAAATTGATCGTTTGTGATTCTAATCATCTTTAATTCCAAGAATAAGGACGTTAAAATTGCCAATATCTTTTTATAAGAATGTGATCGCTAAAAGCTTTTTGCCCGATATAATAATGGTTTCCTACGCATTAAATTGGCTTCACTAAAAACGGCGAAGTTAGATATCTAGTTATTTATTTACATCATTGGATGCAACACTGTCAAATTTGAATGCAAAAGTGTCGAAATGTAGTGATACAATGTCAAAATGAGGTAAGAAACCCTGTATTAAACAGCAGACACAAAACGTCAGCTGGACGTCCTGCGGACTTAAAACATACAGGGACGTCTGTGCCCGTCGAAGTAGTAATGTTTTACATACTTAAATGATACCAAGTTATATTTTATTGGTTCTTTACTCATTTTTTTTAACAAGCCATCTTAATTCAACTAAAAGGCGTTCATTACATTTATATCAAATTTATAAAATTGAGATAACAAAGCTTCTCGGTGAGCAACAAATAAATTTATTTTAGGCGAAAATATTTTCTTCTCATTGTATGTTCAAGTTCACACAGTGCTGACCTTATTACTTGGTCTTCACTATTAAAGTTAACAGTTGCATCACAATTATTATTTGTTGTCTTATTTAGTAAAAACTGCTGTCTCTCTTTTAAGTTGAAACTGCGCATTTCACTCGAGCCTTTATCATTATCACTCGGGCAATACCACCACTAAGTATATCTGCATGAACTTGTTGAGATAGTACCAGTGGTTGAAATTGTGCAAAGATTTCTCGATCTTTATCACTAACTATTTTTTATATTGGGCTGGTATTCATAACTTGAGTTGTCACCAAGCAAGTTGAAACCAGGAACATTCGTTGCCATAAGACAACGAATTTCTCTTAGGGAGTAAATGGTCGCAAATGTCACTGTTGTGAAAAGCTGTTTAATGTATAGAAATTACCTTCATCACCTATCTGTTGTATTATATAAAGTAAAAATATAAGTTATTAGACAGATTTTCAAATTCATTAAAACCGTAGAGTTTAAAAAAAATTTTTTTCCACTTCTTTAATTATTACTTCAATTTTTGGTTTTAAAAGAAAGTCAACAAATTATGAGAATTACATTTAATGCACAAATTAAGAAATATTTCATACCAATAATTATCTAGTTTTCTATAGAACTTCATTTCACCATGCAGCCATAATTTGATTTAATTTTGAAAAAAAAAAAAACAGAAATGAAGACCACACGGGGAAAAAAGAGAAGCATACCCTAGTCAAAAAGTCCTATAGGATCTTATAAGAATTTGGAATAAAAAAAAATTCAGATTTGAACCAAAAAAAAAAAATCAGATTTGAACCCCATAAATTAAAACACATAAGTTAAAAAAAGTTTAGTTATCAAAATTTTGTCTTTTTTTTTTGTTGTTCCTAAAGCCTATAGGTTGTTTTTTTTTGTTCCTAAAGCCTATAGTTTTTTTTTGTTGTTGTTCTATAGGTTCTATGAGACTTTTTGGCTAGGGTAGTCACATTTTAAAAATTTTGAAAGTATTTAATGGTCGTTTATGTGTCTTTATAAAAAAGCAAAGAAAACAAAAAATAAACATTTTACTTTAAATTAATCTAATAATAAATCAAAGTTTTCTTGTTATTTTGTTTTCTTCGCCGTTTTTCTCTAGTGCAGTCTATATATTTTTCAGTATTTTAGTTTGATAATAGGTCGTTTTTTAAATTTTACCATAAATATATTTTGAAATTATATATATAATTCTCTATTATATTGTTAAAAATAACGTATAATAACACAAAAAATCTTGCTTTATGATGACGTCTTTAGCCAAGATAATAAGATAAAGCCAAAATTGCACAAATAAGAAATATCGAAGTTGCTTCCAAGCAACAACAATTTCTAAGTAAAAACAAGGCTTTAGAGAGATAAGCAGTAATCTTCTTTAATTTATTGAAAGATTACTTTTATTTCGTAATGTTTATATCAGCAAAGTAAGGATGTTGCAATGCTTCATCTGCAGTTGTTCGGTACGCAGGATTAAGAACTAAGTGACTCTAAAAACTATATGTTTATTAAAACTCTTAAAAACTCCTAAATAAATTAAAATATATTAAAAAATAAACCTGAAGTAAATCTCTTGCAACTGAACTCATTTTTGCAACAACTACATTTAAAGATACAGATGATGTGATGTTGTATTCCTGTAATAAAATTTTTTTTTTTTTGAAAATTTTCTATAATTATTCATAATTAATTTGATTTAAATCAGAATTTGATAAACTTTTAAGTTTACCTTATATAGAGGCAACTTAGAAACTCCAGGCCACGTGTCTTCACAGGGTGAGCCTAATAACCTTAAACAATATGAATAAAAGAAACGTTTTTTTAAAGTTTTAATATTAATTTATAAAATTGCTAATAAGATAACCACGAAGCAAACAAGATTTTTTTTTTAATAGACAAGATGGATTTTACAACAAAGATTTCTCATCGCTCTATCACACCACCAAAATGTTGTAACAATTAGTCATTTATAAAAAATAAAGATTTGGATATTTACAAATAGTAATAAATACTAATTTTAAGTAAACACCTTTAAAAACTATATATATATATATATATATATATATATATATATATATATATATATATATATATATATATATATATATATATAATATATATATATATATATATATATATATAATATATATATATATAATATATATATATAATATATATATATATATATATATATATATATATATATATATATATATATATATATATATATATATATATATATATATATATATATATATATATATATATATATATATATAAGCAGTAACAATAACAATATTAAGGAGAGAAATTTACAACACTACATCAAAATAATTTAAGTTTAGACAAAAGAAGATTAAAAAAAGTATTAAAAACAAATCAATTGATATACAAAGCCGAGCATAAATTAAATACAACATGATTTAAATTTTTTATAAAAACCTCTTTTTAAAGGGTTTTGAAATGCTTTAAACTGCAAATTGTCCAAACTTTGGACAATTTGCAGCTTGAAGCATTTTGTTAGTCAAACCCAGATTAAAATCGTTGTTTACGTAATATTGTTACTAAGCTTGCTAAAACAAACTACTGACTAGATGTTTTTCTTTAGTTCTTAACTTTTAAATATAAAATGTATTAATATAATTTAAGAGTTTTATCTAAAACTTTTTATTTTTAGTAAAAGTTATAAGAACTTTTTTACTTCATCCTTAGTACTTTTTTACTTCCAAAACTTTTTACTAAAAAGCATTAAAATTTATGTTAAATTTTTTTTTAATAATAAAATTTTATAATAACATTCATTATCACACCATTAAGCTATCATAAAGATCGCACCATTAAACACCATCATTAGGAAAATTACATTAAGTTATTATAAAGACCACACCACTAAACACATAAAGATCATTAAACACCATCAAGAAATTTTAAAAAAGTAATATCAGAAAAAATTGATTGCAAAATTTGTGTTTTAATAACATATAAAAGCATTGGGTTTTAAAAATTCATTTTTAATTTTACTTATTGTTATTAACTTATTCAAAGGAAATAGAAGATTTTACTTGCTGAGATAAAACACACAGTCTGGACCAAACTCTTCGATGACTATATAAAGCATCTAAAGAATTCTAGGAAAGCTTCGTTCTCAGCTAAGATTCTTAAATTAAACTATTATTTTAATATTTGCACAACAAAAGATGTTTTTTAAATAAATTATAAACATTTTCAGCAGCCATTAGCATCTAAAAAAACTTGGTAAATTTAGTAAATTAATAACAGAAATTGAATAGTCACTTAATATAAAACAGTTTGCAAGCGCAGATTTATGTTTAACCATGAAGCAATTATTTATGCAGCAAATATGTTGCAAGTTTTCCAGCAATAAACAAAAGAGCTTTCTTTGTAACCAAGAAGTTTAAGTCTTTAAATTGTTGTGATTAAAAAGCATACTGATGATTAATGATGATTAAATTAAATTTACAACACAAGATTGTTTAAAATTTCTTGTAATTTTAATAATTCTCTTTACATCAAAGATTGAATTTTAGAGCTATAGTGCTATAAATAGGTTTTAAAAGTAGATAATGCTGCTTTGACAAAAAGAGATATAGACAAGAATTTTTTTCCAAAATCACATATAGTTATATAAATTAAAATAATACCTAAATATTCTTTTTAGTTGATCATCAGTATCACTTCCTGGAAATAATGGACGACCTGCATTTGCAATTTCTATTTAAAAAAAATTATAATTGAAACATGCGACATCTTTCTTGTACCAATTTTGACAAAAACATAGTTGTATAGTTTAAAAAAATAATATAAAAATAAATAAATTTAATTGGATAAAAAGAATTGAAAATTCTGATTTGCTCGCAACAAACATTTTAGGGGGAAAAAAAAATTACAAGATTTTAACAGTAGATGTAGAAGATAACATTAGGTTACCAAAAGTTATTAACTTTTTTTATTACCCAGTTTACCCCTCAACCACAGTTATATTATATAAGAACGTGTATCATACTTTGTTTGAAATTTTCTAATATATATTTGTTTGACATTGTCACAAATTTTGTTTGCTTTATATTTTCTTTGTTAGTTGATTGTTACTTTGAAATTTTTACGTATCTGACTTATTCTGCAAAATAAAGGAAATATCACAAGCAAAATTTTTTAGTAATATTTGTAATTTTCTGTAATTTTTGCCATTTGACTCTACTTTTTAATTGCCTATTGTTCTTTACAAAACTATGACACACATTTCTAGGTTTCATAAACTTTTTTTTTTTTTAATACCCTCAAAACTATTTAATAAATGCTTATAAATTTTATTGTAACTTTTTAGGAAGGCTAAAAACGTTTTGTACCCACAAAACCTTAAAGATTTTTCTTCTTTATCTTTTTGATGGTTAAAACAGTTCTCTTAATTCGCATTGTTAGCTCTATTAATTCATATTATTAGCTCTCCTAATTCACCTTATTAAGTAATTAGGGAAACTGTTGAATATATTTAATTCAAAATAGTGCATAGAAATAGAGATTTTTATAAAAAATCTTCAACTTTATCAAAAAAAAACCAATTACTTATTAAGTCCAGTACCAAAGTCCAAAAGATGTTTGTTCTAAATGTACAACATAATCAGGAGCATAATACGAGCTTATGTATCAGTATGTATTGTACTATTCAGCCACCAGAGTCAGCATTCTGCAATTCTGACCTAACTGCTGACCTAAAAGTGTCTAAAGTCTTCAATTTTTTGCCGTCTTTTAAGTTGTTATGATGAAAACTTTTTGTTAAAAACTTTGTGCTGACCTGATGCTGACCAAAAACATGTTAAGATCAGCAATTAATTGCTGACCTTATTTTTTCTAATTCCAAGAGCTGACTATTTATCAATTATTTTTTCTAATTCCAAGAGCTGACTATTTATCAAGAGCTGACTATTTATCAATTATACAAAATTAAATACTTTTAAAATAAAAATATTACATATAGGAGCTATGGATTTTTTTGACTGCGTAGATGGTCATTGAAGGATTAAGGATGCATTCAGTTGGTCATTAAAGATGTAATGATATTTTATTTTCTTAGATAACACAATGTAGTTTCTTTTATAATTTTAACATCTTTTAGTTTTAACTTTCTATTAAAAATAAAATATTGTTACAAGTTGCATCAACTTCTTTTAAAAACTTTTAGAAACTTTTGTTAAAAAATAAATTACATTAGTTAAACTCTCCTCTCTGATATATTACACAAAAACTTTTGGTCTTCTTTTAATTAAGCTTATGTATTAAATTTTATAATATGAAATTTTATCTATAAAATTTCATATTGCATCGTCAATTCATGTAAACACTTTTTATAAGTAGATGAACTTTCAAATTTAAATATCATATATTAATTCTAGTGCCAACTTGAAATATTTAGAAGAAGTAACTGTGGTTATTGAAACACATGGAAGCTTTGCATTCCTTGTAAAAGAACTGTCAGAAATAATTTTTTTTTATATTTTGTATTTCTACTTTGGTGTTTTAAACAACATTAAAAGTTTTATTTAAACTTTTGATCGAATAATTTAAACAATGACTTCTAAAATAAATTTTTATGAAGAAACATATTTCATATATATTTAGCATGAAACATATTTCATATATATTTAGCATGAAACATATTTCATATATATTTAGCATGAAAAATATTTCATATATATTTAGCATGAAACATATTTCATATATATTTAGCATGAAACATATTTCATATATAACTAGAGCTAATATTTCATCTTTAATGTCATTTTTGAATTCAGCAGGTGGGAATACAGAAGAAATAACTAATTTTGGTTCCGATACAAAATCACTGTTGGGCAGTGTAATAGTATTGATTGCCTAGAAAAATTGAGTGAATTTTAGTAGTGTGATCTTTATGATAACTTAATGTTATTTTCTTAATGATGGTGTTTAGTGGTGTGATCTTTATGATAATTTTCTTAATGATGGTGTTTAGTGGTGTGATCTTTATGATAATTTTCTTAATGATGGTGTTTAGTGGTGTGATCTTTATGATAATTTTCTTCATGATGGTGTTTAGTGGTGTGATCTTTATGATAATTTAATGTGACTTTCCCAATGATGGTGTTTAATGGTGTGATTTTTATGATAGCTTAATGGTGTGATTTCTTTTACAGTAAGTTTCATCATCTTTTAAAAAGCACCAATTTTTGTAAATTCACTAAGTTTAGCAAATTTTTAGTTCACCCATTAATGCTGGCCAAAATTTCATTTCTCCATCAAGCGACTTTTTTAATATCTCTTTTTTGTGATAAACATTCAGATTTTCTTTTTTCCAAACTCTTTGAATGAATGACCTACTGCACTTAAACTTTGTTGCTAAATCTTGTTGAGACTAAGGATTTCAATGATTTGAGTCTATCAATTATGCCTCCTATTTGTCATCTTGATTTCCCGCCACTTCCTTGTTTTCTGTTTATAGTTTCATATAATGTTTTCATTGGCTGATTTTGTAACTTTAAATACTTTAGAAATTATTGAGCAAGAGGGATTTTCCAAATAAAGTTTCAAAATATTTTTTTGATTTTCAGACATTTTATTCAACATTGCAAAAGTTTATCAGATGTAAACATACACCCGCTAACAAAAAACTTTTTAAACATGTATATTTAAAGAAAAAATTATTAGTATTAGTTAAGTGATTTTTAAGACAACTCTATTTAAAATTGTCCAAAATACAACCTATCATAGTTATATATAATATATGCTATATAATTGTATGATTCAAATATAAGATAAACTATGACTATGTAATTATACTTTTTTCAATAAATACAAAATGTCAACAAGTATAACAAAAAAGTTTTAAATGTAATTATTTAACCTGCAAATATACAGCCTGCTGACCAAATATCAATTGAAGTTGTATAAAGTTTGGCACCCATAAGGACATCAGGTGGACGATACCATAATGTAACTACCTAAAATATGATGATACCATAATGTGATTACCTAAAATTTTAGAATTTAAAATTATTTTACTCAAAAACACAAACAAAAAAACCTTTAATATTAGCTTTAAAAATATAAAATGAGTAAAGGGCTTGAATTAAGATATATGGAAATGTTTCCATTTCTAGCTTTTTAAAAACTGTAAATTCTGTTTTTATAACTGAATTCAATAGCTGTTATTCAATAAAAAATGAATTGAATGATATAAAATTTCATTATAAATCATAAAGCACGATAAAGTACAATACAACTCTTAAAAAAGTAACCACTAATCACAACAGTCTAAAGGAATTTAGTAATCATTAAATATTTTAAATAAAAGAAATTGTGAAATAAGATAAAAAATAGTTTTATACTTTAACATCTTATTCAATATTTTCTTATAAAAATTATCGTAACTCTTTTGCAGCTATGTATACAAAATTTAACAAAATTAAAGACAGAGGACTTTTTATAGTTATTTTAAAACAAAACAAAAAAACTCTAATGACTTATTTAAATATATCTTTTTTATTATTATTTTTATTATCAATTAATTAAACTCTAATCTAAAACATTTAAATTTTTAATAAATAATTCCTCAAACTTTCCCCCTAAATAAAAATCGATTTTATTGTTTCATACAATGCGCAAAAAATTTTTTATAGGTTGATTTTTAAATAATTGTGCAAATTTTTCAGACCTTTAGTAATTCTTTTTTTTTTTTTATGTTTTTTATTTATTTATATTCTTTAAACTACCTACAGCTGTATTTACATCTCTCCGTTAAACTAACAGAGAACTTGAGCATCCATTAAGAAAAAAACTCTAAACGGCCGGTTATAAAATGGAGGAAAGTAAATGGTATTTGAATCCTTCTGTTTAGACTCCGTTTATTAACCGTTCCAATAATTTTTTCAGTTAAAATTCCTCCGTTAGCCAGCTCCGTTAACTATTTTTCATGTTGTTTTTGTCACCACATCTAAACAATGTGATGCCAACAGACTATGATTCTGTTTATTTGGTAAATAGCAGCCGGTGATTTTTTAAATTGCCAAGTAATTTTTTAAATTTAATTTAAACACGCTACAATAAGAAAAATTCAATGAGTTTGTATCTACTTAACACTTAGTTTCATTTTTTTAAATCTTATGCTTATGGATTCAACTCTTATGAATTACACATTTTCTCATAACTATATTTTTTTAATATTTGAGCCCATTTTATCAAATGGATTCAAATATTAAAACCAAGTAAATTTATTGTGAAACATTTCAATAAATTGCAATCTTCTTTTTCACACCAAAGTGGAGGTTCTATTCTCTTAGTGTTTAAACTATATGTTAATTCCAAAATGAGTTATATCACTGTGTACCTTGTACTATCTTTCTGTTTAAACTATATATTAACTCCAAAATGAGTTATATCACTGTGTACCTTGTACTATCTTTCTGTTTAAACTATATATCAACTCCAAAATGAGTTATATCACTGTGTACCTTGTACTATTTTTCTGTTTAAGAA